TATATATATATATATATATATATATATATATATATATATATATATACGGTGTACACGCAGGTGAACCCTCAAATCCTTACTCGGTGCCGCACAGAGGAGCAGTTGCGGCGTCTCCGCGTTTCGATAAGAAACGCACTCGAGAAAACTGTCAGGTCAGCACACACTCAACTGTCTCCTTTTTGTCTCCTTTTGTCTCTTTTTGTCTCCTTTTTGTCTCCTTTTTGTCTACTTTTTGTCTCCTTTTTGTCTCCTTTTCTGTCTCTCTTTTGTCTCCTTTATGTCTCTTTTTTGTCTCCTTTTTGTCTCCTTTTTGCCTCCTTTTTTGTCTCCTTTTTGTCTCCTTTTTTGTCTCCTTTTTGTCTCCTTTTTGTCTCCTTTTTTGTCTCCTTTTTGTCTCCTTTTTGTCTCTTTTTTGTCTCCTTTTTGTCTCCTTTTTGTCTCCTTTTTTGTCTCCTTTTTGTCTCCTTTTTGTCTCCTTCATGTCTCCTTTCTGTCCCCTTCATCTGTCTCCTTTATGCATCCATTTTGTCCCCTTTCTGTCTCCTTTCTGTCTCCTTTCTGTCTCCTTTTTGTCTCCTTTTTGTCTCCTTTCTGTCTCCTCCATCTATCTCCTGTCTGTCTCCTCTCCCCATCATTAGCAATTCCTGCAGCAGTTGCAGTTACTGTTGCCTGTATACATCTCCTGTGTATTATTAAATTATAAACCAACAAAAAAAAAAAGTATATATATATATATATATATATATATATATATGTGTTTATGTATTTCAGGGTGAAGGTATATCACCCGCTGCAGTTTAAGTATAGAAGGTTTTTAGAGTTGCCGTGTCAGTCTATCTCTCCTCTTATTGAGCTGAAGCGCAGCAGAGACGACGTGCTGCAGCAGCTGCATGCATCGATAACAGAGGAGTTATCGAGGCTTTTATATGGTGGTGGGGGCCAGCGCCGCAGCAGCAGCAGCAGCAGCAGCAGCAGCAGCAGCAGTGATAATACTGCAGCAGCAGCAGCAGCAGCAGCAGCAGGGGGGACACGCATGCAGTTTGTCTTGCATCTGCTCAGCAGCGGCAGCGACTCTCCTCGGTTTGAGCCTCTTGAGTTGAGTAGTAATAGTTATTTAGGTGATTTGCTGCGTAGGAGAACAGCAGCAGCAGCAGCAGCAGCAGCAGCAGCAGCAGGAGGAGGAGCAGCAGGCATAGAAACTTGTTTATATATTCTAGCTGTACCTGAAGATAACTACTATGGGGGCCCCACACACCACGATGAAATAGCGAGGTCCAAGTGTCTCCTTTTTATAAAATATTTTTCTGCGTATGCTCGAGCAGCAAGAGATATAGATATGCAGCAGGCAGCACGCATGCAGCTGCAGCAGCAGCAGATACAGCAGCTGCAGCAGATGCAGCAGCTGCAGCAGCAGCAACTAGCAGCAAAAAAGGAGACAGAAAAAAACACAGAAGAGGACTTTGTTGTTTGTCTTGATGTTATTTATGTCTCCTATGAATGGCGCGTTGTAAGTCC